ACGCACCCCCCAACACCCCCCCCCCCCCCCCCTCTCCTAGATTTCAATGCATTTCCTAAGGTTCCCTCGACAGAGTCTCATCTATTTATCTCTATCATTCTATCTATGATACAAGATCTTTTATCTAGATGCTGCGAGCATGAAGTTCGTATACAAACTCTGTAAAAAGACCATTCTATCTGGAAAATGCTCTCAGAGAATGATAAATTGTACCCGAGAGTTTGTGAGTCAACAAATCATCCTGAATGCATTCTCACAACATAATGTATACTAGATCTATGTGGTGTGTTTTACTTGTAGTGTATTGAAGCATTTTACTTATGGTGTGTATCTAAGTCCAATGTGGTGTATTGAGGTACATATATTGAGCTTTTAACATCCATTTAGCAAGTTTTTCATAGAATTTATTTTTTAAAATATGTTTAATAGAAGTAGGTTAGAGCCCAGGGATTAAGATGAGCTATGGACAAGTCGTTGGGCTTCTGAAAACGTCTCGAACACAAAGGAAGGTTAAAAATTTCAAGATGGAAGATGAGAAGAAGAATCCATGAGCCATCTTAGTTCTAGACATTTCAAGTTGTATAAGAGCGAAGTTTGATCACCCATTTTTCTTCGTTCTTCTATAGTGCACTGTGATACCCTGATGCACTGGTGTTTTCTTATGGTCTTTTGTTATGTTTTTTATTGTGTTTATTATATTTTTATTTTATTTGCATGCTAAAATATGATATATTTCCAAGTTTTTTTTTTGTTTCTGATTTAGCCTAAATTTATATTAGAATTTTAGGATAATTTTTCTATGTCAACTAATAATTTAAACAAAAAATTGTCATAATCAATGTTTGAAATAAAAAAAAAATGAATCACGTCACTTAGAATTGCATTGCATATAACTTACTTTTAAATGAAGCCGAGGGTTTTGGTGGATGGGGTTAGGTGTGCTTGTTTCTACGATTGGTGAGGATCATCACCCTTCAAGTGTGCTAACTCCCTTTTCATACTCGACATGGTCTTAAAATTTTTTACGCATGCATAATTAATAGCTGCAAAACTTTTACACAACCTTTCAAGCTTAATCAAACTAACAACATCAACTTAATCAAATCAAACAACCATTCTTCAATTGTTGAGTCAATAAAAAAATTTAATCATCTCTACACAATTAAGTCAACATATCTCTTTCCAAGTAGGTCGTGAGTCCAAGTGAGTTGGCCTGAGTTCACTCCATTGTGTGAGTTAAACACATAAGTTCCATTTCCTTAGATTATGGTTGAGTCTTTATTTTATTAGTAGAACTCACCTTAGTCTAGGTTTTGAGGCAATCTTGTTGGCCTTATCATTGAGCTAGTTTCTTTTAAATTTTTTGATGGCTCGTGCCGTCGTACTTAAACCCTAAATCTTCTAACTAAAATTATCAATATAAACTAAATATCAATTTTTAACTCCCAAGTGTATGATAGACTAGTGTAATCATACTCCTTATCTGTTAGCTTCTGACAAAAATACTTCTAAGTTTAAGACAATTCATTTTTACTTTCAAATGAAGCATACTTAAAAAATAAACTTTGATATCAACATAACTAAATAACTAATATTTTAATTAAGAGTTTTCCTAGAAGATTAACCCTTTATTGGATGCAAGTAACTAAAAAGATTTGCCTCTTTAGTGTTATCACACCCTAAAATTAATATAAAACAAATCCTACCTTTTTAGTAAAAGGAAAAACTTCTAGTACAAAGAAATCCAGAATGGTGAAATAATCTCTTCATGATTCCATTGTAGGATGGTACTTTCATCCCTTGAGGTGATATATTATACTTGATGTTGTATTCAATCACCAGTGAAAATTTTTAAAACTCTACGCGTGGTTTACACATTCTAGCTTGTTATGATGTATCCCCAAATGTAGGCATCCCCTCATAAAATTCATTTCACCTTTGGTTACATGAACGATACATCTGTCAATCTTTATAACACAACTTAATTTTTGTAACCCACTCTTAGTAACAAATATTCATTTTAAATTAAATACATGTCTGGCATCTTTATGGTTGTGGTAACAGTCATCAAACATCTTTAATGTGAATGACCTCACTCTCGTCATCTAGCAAGCCTTATTATAGAAACCTAATAAGACCATGCCTTGATTCCTCTCCCCGTTCTTCTTAACCCACTCTACATTCAAGCTAAAATAAATTGAATATATTGAATTAAGGATCAATTAGATTTTAAAATACTTATTTGAAACAACAAGGACATCACTGATCCTAATCCATCTTGAATAGCAACCACAATAGCTTTCATGTTGTCTCCAACTCTTTCATTCTGCCACTTCTTGCTCTTGAAGTTCCCTTCTTATGGCATTAAATACACTTTCTTGATGCTTTAGATTTTGAATGAGATCTATTATGAAAGTTCTTAATACTTAGAAGCTATGATCTTCCTCTTGTAACTAACATATCTCTTTTCTTGTCACATTTGTTCTCTGATTTTCTTTGCACGTCCTTAAACATATATATGCATAAACACAATTTATATCAATTTTAAGATTTTCTTGTCATAAAGCGGTGTATCCACTATATGTTCACATTTCTTCAAAAACAAAATAAGAAGGATGATAGCTCGATCTACTTCCTTAATCCTCACATCAATATTTTTGGGTCAAGAATGATTCATAGCTCTTTAGTGTTCGCTATATCTAACAAATGTTGATGAATGAGAAGTGTTTTAATCTTGATTCATCATTAGTTGAAATCGTTCTTTTTGCAAATTTCTCAATTTTGAACTTTGGTGTAGCTATAATTGCTAATCATGAATGACTTTGACACCAATTGTTAAAAAAAATATTGAATCAAAAATAGGAATTGCAGTAGAACATACAACAGTTAGAAAATAGAGGGGAGTGTGTGAGATATATATATATATATATATATATATATATATAAGAGGAATTTGTTTTGTTATTGAATCAAAAAAATGACCTCTCGACCTCACTTCCAAAATTAAAACTCCTTTGACTACTAAATAACTTAAACAAATGTAAAAAAAAAAACATCATGGACATTTTGCATGTGATTTTTATTATGGAATTTATTTTTTCTTGAATAAAAAGGGGAAAAAATAGTCCCAGTAGGCACAACAACTATTGTAACTTAAAAATAAAAGGATTTAAATAGATGCCACAAAATTTTTATGTCGTTCTATGGAAAAATTTGCATACATGGCACACAAATTTTTATGTATTTAAATCTCACACCTAAACTTTCATATTTACATACTTAGCATTTTGTTGTTTGTGTAAATATGAATGTTTTGAAGGGAAATATGCAAATGCATAAGAATTGTGCGCTATTTATGTAAATGCCCCTGCTTAGATACATAAGAATCGAGTGGTACCCATGTGAATCTTATGAACAGACCTCAAGAACAATAACAGCGGTAAATCTTACACGCAACAGATGCTATTTGCCCCAATGACAGAAATTCAATCATGTTACTTATTTATCCTCATCATTCCTCTCACAAAATTTCCAATTAAAATGGATGTCAGTATCACATTTTCTTTTGGCATGCATTTCATGTTTTATATAATTTCATTTCATTTAAGTTCTATTGAACTTGAATATAATTCGTGGCTTCTTGAAAAATTTGGCTAAAGTAAGCTTGAACCTTGTTCAAGGTTATGTTTTTTTCATTTCATGTTGTTGAGAACCAAGAACTGTATCGAACAACACCGGAGATATGTTGCAAATGGGCCAATTTAACCATTTTCTCATCACAAAGTGTGATTTTCTTAATTCAGTGTCCAAACCTTTAATATATATATCAAAAAAAAAAAAAAAACAAACAAAATAGGATTATGGAGGGAGTATTTGTTCAGAGCAAGGAGATGCAGGTGGCGTGCTGTATGAGATCTTTACGCAGTATCTTTCCCGACGGATTCTTCGGGATCTCCTGCACAAAAGCCACACGTCTAATCCTCTTGTATGATGCTACTTGTTTTCTTATGAAATCTATTACCATCGACTCTGATAGCTCGCTTCCTTTCCTCCTCACAACATAACCCATTGGATACTGCCCAACCTCCTTGTCTGGAAACCTGCACAAAACTAACTTGATTAATAATATTTCATCAAAGCAAATACCCTATAAAATGGCCCAAAAAATTCTTCACTAAATTTTAATTAAAAAAATTTACAGTCAATGCCCAACCAATTTTTATGCATTTGTGCATTTGCATATCTAACACCTAAATCTCAATTTTTACATACATAATATCAAACATGAAAATGTGTATGTCACTCTTTAAAAATTAAAATGACGGTATTTTTTATGTTATATGAGACATTTGGTACTATAGATGTATGAAACAAAATTTACGTGGTAAGACATCTAAATACATTGGAACTGGGGAGGATATGCATGTAAATGCCACAAAGTTATTTTCTTTAATAAAAATGAAATACCAAGTCATACTCATATTCAATCAACTTTAAAGACAAAAGTGAGGAGTAAACATTACGGGATCACAGCAGCATCAATGATCTCTGGATGCTTTAGCAATAAGTCCTCCAACTCCGCGGGCGCCACCTGATGAAAGCCAATTTCAATGGCAGATATGATCAAACGACTGAAATATACAGCACTCATCTCTGACGCCATTATGAACGGTCAGATGAAACTCACCTGGTAAGCCTTGTACTTTATGAGTTCTTTGATGCGGTCGATCACAAAGAGGTAACCATCCTCATCAATGTAACAGAGGTCTCCTGTTTTAAGCCAGCCTTCCTGGTCTACTGTTAATTTGGTCGCCTCGGGATTATTAAGATAACCTATATATTTTCACGTAAAAATATATTAATTTAATATATATTCCATATTCAACATAAAATTTAGGGTTCGTCGTGCTCCAGTTGTGTGGCTATGTTAATTACCCTTTTAATAAAAGGTATGATTTATTGCAACTCAAATCGAATCTTTTTTAAGTCGTAAATGCTGGTTAAGTATTTAAAATTTCGAAAAATTTATAAAAAAAATACACTCAATTCCTATGTTTTTAGGTATATAACACCCAAACATAAAATTTTTACATAGCATTTACATACATAGCACTTAATTCCTATGTATTTACATATCTAACACTAAAATTTTCTTTTTACGTTCATGCCGCTGAAATTTTTCATATCACATTGAAAATATCATTGTTTTAAATATTAAAAATAGAAAAATAACTTTTCTGCATAGACAAGATAGTATATATGTAAAAAAAGAAGTTTAGATGTTAGATATGCAAATACATCAGAATTGAGTGGTATGTATGTAAATCTTTCATTATTTTATGTATAGTGTTATTTTTGTTGCCATATAAAAGATTTATGCGGTATAAATGTAAAAAATAAAAACCAGATATTAGATTTATAAATGAATAAAAATTGGGTGTTATGCATCTAAATGTCCATAAATTTTAGGCAAAACATTATAAAATAGTATTTTTATAAGTTCAATATTTTAAATTGACAATTTATAAAATAAAATTTTAAAATTGACATAATCACCCTGCAATTTACCACACGGCGAACTAGCAGATTTTGTGACAATGTTTATAAATTAAATTCTGTCTTTTTTTTTTTGAAAGACTTCAAAACTTTTAAATTAATTTAAACCTTTAATACACATCAAATAAAATAATACGGCAATGTTGCAGATCATGATATTGTATATATATATATATATATATAAGAACTACTTAATAAGCATTAACACGTGGCAAACTCAATTTAAATATGTAACTCAATTTTCAAGTATATAACACCTAAATTCTTATGTTTTTACACATTTAACATCTAAATTTTTATCTTTTATAATTAAACCATCCAAATCTTTAATGTGACATTTAATTTTTAAAAAAATAAAATAAATATTTTCATGCATCCTAAAGAAATAAATAAGAACTACTTGATAAGCATTGCATGTATAACTTTCTAAAAAACAGACATTATAAAATATAATTAAACGTAGATAAGATAAGATTCTGCCGCCGAAAAGATACAGTTAATACAAAAATAGATAATCTTATAACAATGATGTTAAATAATAAATAAATTAATCATGAATTTAACGATAATGAAAATATTTTTTAAGAAAATAACACATGGCAAACTCATCACCCAGAAGGCACGCAGGCCTGATTTCATCAATTTTATAAATTTTAACTTTACTTTGTAATTTTTAAATATTAAATTTATTTAAAAAAAAGTCATTTTTAAAACTTTTGCCTAAATTTTATAATTTAAAAAAAAAAAAGAAATCACCTTTGGTTACGTAAGGTCCGCGTAACCAGAGCTCCCCCTTCCGATTGACCGGCAAGAACTCCCCACTCACCGGATCCACAATCCTCGCTTCCGTATTCTGCACTAGCAACCCTACCGATCCGTACCGCCTGCTCTCCTCCTCCGTAACAATCGACGATCCCAATGCGGTCGCCTCTGTGAGTCCATACCCCTGCAATATATGAACCCCCGGAAACTTCTCCCGAAATTCGTCCACCATCTCTCGCCCCAGCGTCGCACCGCCGCAAGCCACCTTCTTCACCGTTCCCAAAGATAAAACCTTATCCGACCCCACCATGGCCACCAACACAGGCGGGACTATCCCAATATGTGTTGCCCCGTAATCTGCCGCTGCTCGGAGCATCTCCTCCATATTAAATCTCGAGATAATCACCACCGTCGATCCTATTGTCAGGTTTCCGATGGCAAATGCTGCCATGCCGTATATGTGGAACATCGGCACCGTGCAGATGAACGTTTTCGACTTCACGCCATCAGCTTTGAGGTTCGTGTGGAAAATCCAAATCGCGGAGATCAAGTTCCGGTGCGTGAAGATTACCCCTTTGCTTTTGCCTGTGGTTCCGGAGGAGTAGAGAATCATCGCCGTGTCGTCTTGGCTCACTGGTTCGCGCGGCGGCGAGCGCTGATGGCTGTCGGTGTCCGTCCACTGTTTAAACCATCAACGATGTTTATATATACATATATATCTTTTCGGTGACGTGCTGTAAACAAATTATTTTTAAAATAAAATAAAGATTCTTCTTAACATTGAGCATAATAAATTTTAAAAGAGTTAACTTTTATAAGTTAAAACGGATTTATTTTGAGGCAAGTGGCTCAGCCATATTTATACATACATATTACCTATACATATGTAAGTATGTATGCGCGCATACACGCACACACAACTACATACATAGTATGCATCAAAAAGAAATCTACACTGTTCTTAGAGAGTTATCAGTCTAAAAGAGAAAAGTATGACAGGAGCAGATCCATGATACCTAGCCAACCGAACGAGTCAAAAATGTAAAAGAAGAAGATTGGGTGATTTGAGCGTAAACAATCCGACCAGAAACAGACAAGAGAATATCCTAGTCTTCCGTTGTAGAAGGTTGACCCGATGCGATAGCATATCCCGCAGTAGTTCCGACCGAGTGAAAGAGACAAATCCACAAAGTATCATTAATCATCTCATGGAAACATGAATACTCATCATCAAGGATCAGAGATATTCAACTAGGTTGGGTTAGCCAACTAAACCATATTGACAAAGCTCAACTGACAGAGTTGACCTCATCAATTCCAATCAAAAAATCAATGAATTTACGTTGGTCGACTTTTGAAAAATTTCCCAAAGACTTGGTGATTCCAATTTTGAAGTCATTTCTAATGGTTTTTCAACTAAATAAATTGTACACTCCTCGTTAAAGTCTTTCGATGCCTTATGAGAATATATTGATGGTTTTTTCGTCGATTTATTCCGACTCATAAACGAACTGTCCAATATCGTTGAAATTAAAGACATCAGTTTTTTCTAGATTAAAAATTGACGGACATTCTACATTAACGGGCAAATTAAACAGTCGATTAAAAAGTTATAAATATTTGAAGCCGCACTTGGTGTCCAGAAGTCCTTGGATATACTCTATTATATCAAACTTTCCCACTTACTTACGCGGTCCCACCGGTGGGAGACAATTTCGATAGCATACACTAGGGCTGTAAACGAGCGAGCCTGAGCGAGCCCAGGCCCGGCTCGTGTTCGGCTCGCTCGAATCTTGCTCGTGTTCGAAATCGGCTCGTGTTCGAAATGGCTCGTGAACAGTGTGTTCGTGTTCGGCTCGAATAACATTTTCATGTTCGTGTTCGGCTCGTGTTCGGCTCGAAAATGGCTCGTTAGAATATAAAATTATTTAATAAATATTATTTTTTTTAAAAAAATAATAATTTTGTCTAAAAATTTTTCAAGGACAAATTTCATACAAAAATTCAGAGATTATGTTAATTTATTTTTTACAAAAAATTAATTAATTATAATTTGTAATATTTAATTTTATGAATATGTATTATGTATATTTATATATATTTATTTTCGAGCAATTCGAGCCGAACACGAGCTAAAAAACTTTTATTCGTGTACGACTCGTTTACATTTCGAGCTTAAAAATTTGTTCGTGTGTTAGGCTTAACGAACGAGCCGAACACGAGCTGCTTAACGAGCCGAACACGAGCTGTTCGCGAACAACGAGCCAAATTGACAGCCCTAGCATACACTCTAAAGTTAACCATTTCTTAAGCTCTTTGATTCAAATCGAAGGTGAAGTTGATTCCAATCTCCATCTATACTTTTATTTAATTCCATCCGTGTTTTTGCACTTGAGTCTTTCTGTTCTTAGAAAAAATGAGATTTTTTTATTTGAATATTCATTTTTCATATTGTATATTTGCATATATTTACCTATCTCACACCTATACTTCAATTTTTACATATATGCGGCTATGTATGTAAATGCCCACATAAAAATTTTGAGATATGTACGTTTGCAATGCATAAGAATTGGGTGTGAGATAGATTTGCGTTTAATTTTTTATATTATGGGCGGCCAAAAAAAATTAATGATAACACTTATAAACCGAGTATCCAAATCTAATTATTTTTCCTTTGATGAAAATTCAGTCCAATTGATACTCACCTCCAGTAACGTTTTCTCTTCGAGGAAGAGGATGGGGAATTCATGGCCGGCGAGCTTCGGGAGGAGGGAACGGGTAGTGAAGGCGAGGACGGGTCTGGAGTCTGCGATCTGGGCCGAAATTTCGGGAGGGGTGTTCAGTGTATTGGCGGTGGTGAGAATGGCCCCGAGGGACATGACGGCCAGAGAGACGATGGGGAAGTAGAGGGAGTTTGGAGAGAGGATGAGGACCACGTTGCCTTTAGAGATACCATGGACGGAGGATAGGAAAGAGGAGAGGCCATTGACGGAGCGCCAGAGATCCGAGTAAGAGAGGCTGCGGCCGGTGGAAGCGTCGATGAAGGCAGTGGTGCCGAAGTGAGGCTGAGAAGAGATGAAGGTTGTGATGTCGAGGTTGGAATTGGGAGGGAGGGGGACGGGATCCCTTTTGCTGTAGAAGATAGAATTAGTGGAGCAGAAGCCGCTTCTTGGGTCGATGTTGGGGATGTTTTGGTGTGCCATAGCAGCTTCTGGTGAAGAAGGAGAAGGTTCTGCGGCTTGATTGGGCTGGGGATGGAGCAAAGGGTCGAGAAGCGTTGAAGTTTAATAGGATGATTTCGCAGCGTAATTGTCTTTTAGTTTCATGGGGAAATTTTAACTAAAAATGGGCCGGAGGCTATCCAAATGGACGTCTGCCATAAATTTTATAAATTATCGGCAAGCGGATTTAGTAGAGGTCAAAAGATTCTCTGGATGACAATTAAATCGGTCAACAAAAAAATTAAAAAAAAAAGGCCAATTTACGTATGGCACAAAATTATCTTGTATTCATGTACCTCACACATAAAACTTTCATTTGCACATTTACGTACGTAATATTTTGGTTTTTTTAAATTAACAGTGAAAGCGTGTATTTCAATTAAAAAATATGATAATAGTACTATTTTTTATGTGAAACTAAGTATTATATATGTGAATTTAGATGTCAAGCACAATTTATCAAATTAAATAATTTTAGATATTTTTTTAAAATGTAATCCATCTTGAATAAATCCATCTCTTCATTGAATTTAATAAATTCAGGATATGAGAACAAAACAACCAGAGAAAATTTTTTTTAATAGATCATTGAATTTAATATTCAATTTTATTAGTTTTTAAGTGAATTAAAGCTAAATCACCACTAAATCTTATTAATAATATGCTATCAAACAACAAGCCGGCAAACACCAAGCTCGCGACGAGGTTTCCAACTGGAATTACTTGCATGAAGCTTCACCCACAAGATGGAAACTGACTAGAAATCCTATAATTAGTGCTCTCCAGCCTTACCCACAAGTTCGAAGTTGGAAAAAATTACTAAGTTATGGCAGTTCATTGTTAAACTTAGGCGTGAGTTGTGGAGCCTGACGAAGTATGAGAACCCTCCTTTGGCAATCATACCATTTATTAGGACTACAGGACATATGTTGAGAAATTAGGATGAAGAAAAATAAGAATCGACACAAGTCCAGAAGAACACACAGAGATTTAATGAGGTTCGACAAAGATGTCTAGACATCGGGAGCAGAGCGGCGATGTCCTTTCAATATTTAGAAAAGAGATTACAGAATAGAGGATAGCTCCTAGGGTTACTAACATGTCTATTTGTAACCCCAGGAGTAAACCCTAAGTACAATATGTAATTATAACATTACCCCTGTAAAGTACCGCAGGGCTTTGCCCCTGCACCCCCAACCTACATAACGTAACTTCCCGATTTGGACAGATTCTTTCGCTCCGCTCCGCTCCGCTCCACTTTGATTCAGCGTCTGTCTCTATAGGGTATATGAGACATACCAAAACGAATCTCTACCTTTGCGAATATCCAGCCCCTTATGAGAAAAGATACATGGGAGTTACACCTGCACCAATGTGGGTGGGGTCACCATGCTTCTCTAGCAACTGCAGACATTCAACAAATCCAAGAAATGCAAGAGCTTGTTGATAGTAATTGGCTTGGTCAACATATCAACTGCGTTTTCATCAGTATGAACCTTCTACAACAGCATCTCACCAGAAGCAATCAATTCTCTGATCTTGTAATACCTGACATCAATGTGTTTGGTTCTTGCATGGTACACCTAGTTCTTAGCCAGATAAATAGCACTTTGACTGTCACAATGCAACTAAACTCCACCTTGCTCAACGCCCAGTTCCTTTACTAGCCCAGCAAGCCATAAGGTTTCTTTTGCAACTTCAGCTACTACCATGTACTCAGCTTCAATTGTAGATAATATCACAATAGACTGAATAGTTGATTTCCAACATGTAGGCCCTCTACCGAGAGTAAACAGATACTCAGTTGTAGGCCTTCTGCCATCTAAATCACCAGCATAATCAGAATCAAAGTACCCCACAACTGAAAGATCATCCTGCTGACTGCAAAAAAATAATTCCATGTCCTACAGTACCCTTCAGATACCTGAAAATCCACTTGACTTCTTCCTAATGTCGGCTTACAGGTTTAGCCATGTATTTGCAGACTTGACTAACAACATGAGCCAAATCAGGATGAGTACATACCATTGCATACATCAACCAGCCAACTGCATTGACATATGGAACCTTTGTCATATCTTTGATTTATGCATATGTCTTAGGCACTATTCTGAAGAAAGCTTAAAATGATTTGCCAAAGGAGTGCTTACAGGCTTTGCTTTGCTTATCTCAAACATTTCCAGCACTTTCTCAACATAGCCTCCTTGAGATAAACATAATCGTCTTGAGTCTCTGTCTCGATGAATCTTCATTCCAAGAATCTTCTTCATAGAACCCAAGTCTTTCATGTCAAATTCATGGCTCAATAAAGCTTTCAAACCACGGACATCATTCATATTCTGTGTAGCAATCGGTATATCATCAACATACAGTAACATAAAAATAATAGAACGATCATCAAGGCTCTTCACATAAACACAACAATCATACTCACATATCTTATAGCCAATCTATCATATATAGGAGTCAAACCGCTTGTACCATTGTCTTGGAGACTGTTTCAACTCACAACGATTTCTTTAACCTGCAAACCAGATGCTCCTTTTCAGGTTGAGTGAACCCTTCTAGCTACTCCATGTAAATCTGCTCCTCCAAATCATCATGCAAGAAAGCAGTTTTAACATACATCTGCTCCAAATACAAATCTCAAATGACTACTAATGCAAGCACTGTCATAATTGAAGTATGTATGACCACAGAAGAAAAGATTTCATCATAATTTATCCCCTTCTGCTGTAAAAATCTCTTTGCTACCAGTCGGGCCTTGAACTTTTCCCCTTCATTTTCTGATACTGCTGGTTTCTTTTTGTACACCCACTTGCAACCAATAACCTTCTTTCCATCAGGAAGCTAAACTAGCTCTCACGTGCAATTTTTCTGCAAAAACTCTATCTCCTCAACCATTACACCCATCCATTTCTCTTTCTCCTAGCTAGTCATAGTTCCTTGAAAATTGGCTGGATCATCACTGCTGATGAGAAGTGCACAAGAGACCAAGCCTCATAACCCAATATGATAGGAGACATTATATTGGTGCGTCTCTATCTGTTTCTGGCTAGATTATAATTCTGCAGATCATTTGGAATGGAATCACCAGTGTTGGATTTGAACCTTCAACTCTCTCAGTTGTTTCTAGATGTTGTTCTAAATTCATCTGCACTGCAACTGAACTGGAACTGTTCCCTTGCACATTGTCTTGATTCTACTGCTACATGGATTGTTCATCAACTGCTACATGGATTGTTCATCAAAAACTGCATCTCTGCTGATCACCATCTTTTTTGCAATCGGATCCCAAAATTTGTATCCTTTCACACTTCTGTTATAGCCCAGAAAGATGCACTTCTTGGATTTTGCATCAAATTTTTATCTTTTATCTCCAGGTACATATACATGAGCAGGACATACCTTTTTGATATGTAAATGATTGAAATTAACCGGATTATCTGTCTATACCTTTTCTGTGATCTTTCCACCCAACGATGCCCAAGTTGATCTATTGATGAGATAACATGTCATATTCACAGCCTCTGCCCAACAACTCTTAAGAAGCCATGCATTCAGTCTCAAACATCTTGCCCTTTCAGTTGAGAACTTGTACATCCTTTCTGCCACACCATTCTGCTGTGGTGTTCTTACGTACTAAAAAATGCCTCTGAATCCCATAATCCTCACAGAACTTCTGAAACTGTGAATCTCTGTACTCTGTGCCATTATTAGACCTCAAATATTTGATCTTTCTACCAGTTTGGTTCTTCACTTCAGCTTTACACAGCTTAAATTTAGAGAATATTTCAGATTTCTGCTTCAAGAAATTTACTCAAAATTTTCTGGAGAAATCATCAATAAAAGTAATCAAATACTGAAATCCTCCCAATGACGATTCCCTAGTAGGGCTCCATACATCAGAATGCACATAATAAAAAATCCCTTTGTAAAAAAACTGACTCTAATCTGTTTTCCAATAACACAAAACTTACAAAGATTGAGCTTGCAGCTTTTAACACCATGCAACCAGTTTTTTCTATGCAATTATGTCATCCCACATTCACTAGATGACCCAGACGCATATACCATAGCTTTGTACTATCATCATCTGATTCTACAGAATGAACTTCACCTACAACTGTACTCCCCAACTGTTTGTAGATATTACCTGCAGTTAACTTTCCTTTCATCTCCGTCAGTGCACCCTTAAAAATTCAATGTTTTCTCTATCCTCATCTGCCTTAGGAATGAAATCATTTCTATGTAAAGTGCCCAAGGAAATCAAATTCTTCTTCAGATCTGGAATATATCTGACTTCACATAATGTTCTAAATGTGTCATCACATATCTTGATTATGACTTTGTCAATACCAATAATATTGCAACATCTATCATCACCTAGATAAACTGAGCCAGAATTAGTTGACCTGTATGAAGTAAACCACTCCATGTTAGGTGTTATGTGATAAGAGTATCATGAATCAAAAAACCATGTATTCGTGAACTGAGTTGATGAAACTGAAAGCATATCATCATCATTACAATCTGAATTGTCACTCTGCACCACATTTATAGACTTTGATGATCCATCATCATTCTCTCCAATCTGTTTATTGAGCTTTGGACAATCTCTCTTTATATGACTGATAACGACTTTATATATGCTTAAAAATACAAGTATTTAATATTGCTGCTAAAAGATTTAATTCGATAACGACATCAAAAACTTAGCAACGGCTATAGATTCGAGAAAGATGTCTA